AAGTGCGTCAAGTGGCGGCTAAGACAGACTTATGATTTTGAGTAGTCGACATCCCACCAGAAACGATCCAACCAAGTTTTGTGTTTTGGAGTGTTGGCAATATGCTATCCAAATGTATTTGCCCCATATTATTTCGAAAAACAGACCAGCGCCAATTAACAAGTCGATGCGTTGTGATTGGTTGAAATAAGGGTCAGCGAGCGAAATGTTTTGTAGAATCCTCCATCCTGATGTATTTATGTTGAAATTCGGCTGATACTCAGTGATACTGTCAGTCACAACAGCTGTGAATGACGCACGATACCCTGCATCCCGTAATTGCGCAAAAATATCCACTGATTTATAAGAGTTCATAGAGGACTCACCGATCCCAGAAATTGCGAATGCCTATATTTCAAATTTAACTGGCTAGCTAGGCGGGTAGTTTTGAAGTTTAATTGAGAAGCAGAATCCAAGATTGCTCGACAGGGCATAAATGAACCAACCCTATTTTTTACATAGACAATAGCAGTTGGCAGCAACACGTAATTTATTGCCACAGTATTTGAACCATTTGGTGGAGGGTGCGATACCTGACGATCAAATTGTGAGCATGACACTAGTGCTGATGAAGTGGATGTTGATGGCTGAGAGCTCGAGAGTGGGTCTGATGATGGAGGTGGTGCGGATGAGTCAGGGGTCATATGCAATAGTGAGTGGTGCTTCATGCGACAATATCTGCAATGAGTTGATTTACATTGCTGCAAACAGTTCAGGCAAAGGTGCATTTTCTTGGCTTCTCTAAATCGAAGATGCGGGCTTAAATTTAAAAATCGAGAGCACTATGGGAAATAAGGATCTCTCGCATCGCAAAATAGGCATATTGGATGATTTAAGTTAGTAGAAGACGCAATAAGTGCACTTGGGTTATATTTATGCATATTTTCTCCCACCTGATGGCCTGGTGTTTGCGTTACCATGGCTTGATCCAAATTTTCCATCATCCTACACCTTCTCTCCAAAAACGACTCCATAGCAGTCCAGGAAGATAACTCAGCGATTGGCGAATCCTCTTTCAATTTTCCCGAGTCCGTTAATCCAGCTGGTGAACGACGATATGAATCAGTAATCCATCCAAAATTTGCCGTGTAGTGGCCAGCGTATGGATTGCCCGAAGATATGCGTTCATAGAATCGCTGAGCTCACGAAGACCCTTGGCAGATTCCTTCTCGACACCTTTTAAAGCATATATTGCCTGAACGTGTGCCTGAAAATGTAAAACTTTGTTATCAAATCGATTTATGAGCAGATTCAAAGCCTTTTTATAATTGTGTGAGGAGCTGAAACTCAGATCTCACAAAATGTACATATTTATATATATGAAGAGTTGGGGCGTCGGGGATGTCGTCGCTTGGGGGCAGCTTCGTCGGTGGTTGCGTGGTGTTGAACGTAGCCGGGTGGCAAGCTGTGGAATAGATGATGAAGAGCAAACACTCGACGATCGCGGTGCGCAAAAGAGAAAACAAAAAAACTCGGTGAACTTTTCGGGTTATAGCGCGGACCGGCCGGGCGATGTATTTCACTAGTGGTACAATGAAAGACTAACTTAAACCTAATTGAACGCTGCGTTTCAAAGCGCAGTGGAGAGATTCCGGGAGCGGGAAGGCGGGAGAGCCTGGAATCGCAAGCGTCCAGTGCGGGAGAGCGGGAGAGCGGGAGAGCCTGGCCAGTGCGGGCGAGTGGGCATTCGCTACGAGGGAAGCGCGGGCAGTTTAAACGAGGGGAGAGCGGCGTAAACATTCCGCCCCCCTTGCAATCGCTAGCGTTGCGAAAGAAAAAACAACAAGCCCACTCCTGTCGCCTAGGCTTGACTGCAGGCGCCGGACAGGATCCACCCGAATGCCGTCTTCTGGGCCACTGGGAGTCCCTCGTCGACCAGATGGAAGCCCGGTCGGATGACCTTGGCGTAGACATCCGCACCCAGGACTACCGAGATGGTTGCCGGCAAGTAGAAACGTTTGTCGGCCAACGGGAGGTCTCCGTATCTGCCGACCACGGTGTCCGAGAGCTCTCGGATGGGGGTGCGGATGCGGACGTTCGGCTCCACTTTCAAGACGACCTCTAGCTTGAAGCCGTTGTCGCACTTTGACCGAATTGTCGCCGTGCAGATGCTCTCGTCGCCGACGGTCGTAGTCGGCAAGCGGAACGCGGATGCCAATGATGCGTCGATGCAGCTCGTCGGTGTACACGGGTCGATGAGGGCGGCCGTGTCGAAGGTCTTCAGCCCGGTCTCCAAAGTGATCATGGCCGTCGGCAGGACATTGACGCTGTGCCGTTGGAGAATGGACGCCAGTGACGGAGCCGGTGCCGAGGAGGCTGAGCGCGGCGGGGAGGCAAGCGCTCTGCGAGTTGGCGGATCTTGCCGGCGCGAGCGCTGCTGAGAAGCGGCGGATGCCGAGCGCCTTGCCGGGGCTAGCGCTTGGCGAGTTGGCGGATTCTGCCGGCGCGAACGCTGTTGATTAGCCGACGGCAGGGGGCGCTCGTGCATATGGAGGAGCGTGTGGTGCTTGCCGTTGCACGTTTTGCACTTGTCGCCACTGCGACAACTCCCGTCGGAGTGCTCGTGGGCGAGACAATTTGAGCAGTACTTATTAATCAGCACTGCCCGAAGCCGCTTCTCTGCGCTCAGCTTTAGGAACCTCTGGCACTTTCGAAGCGGATGGATTCCACGGCAGACTCGGCATCGGTAGGAATGTATACCTCGAGTACGTCTGCTTTCTAATGCCTGAGCGCTGCGTGGACGAGGAACCATGATGTGATCTGGTGGGGAGTAATGGATAAAAAAGATGATTTGAGATGCTTCGATGGCGAGGATTGTTGGGGAATTATGTGGAGGATGTTGGTTGAGGAAGACGGTTGGAGGGTTCTCCTGGCAGAAGAACCACCTTGGTCACGGGACGCTTGATAATCCTACGTGCCGTGAGAATGCTGACGACACGGACATTGCCGTCAGCCCCCGGAAAGACAGAGTCGATTCTGCCAAGGCGCCACTCATTCGAGGGCAGATTGTCCTCCTTGACGACTACCATGTCGCCAACGCGGAGATTTGCGGTCGGGGACTGCCACTTGTTACGCTTGTGGAGCTCTTTGAGATACTCCTCTTTCCATCGAGCTTGGAATTGTTGATGGAGCGCCTTTAAGTGTTGCCACCGATTTACAATGGACTTGGATTCCCCTTTTAATTCGGGTTCCACTATGGACAGAAGAGGTCCGCCGACTAGAAAATGCCCTGGTGTCAATGCTAAGAGATCAGTGGGATCTTCAGACATAGGAGATAGCGGTCTGGAATTTAGACAAGCTTCAATTTTCGCTAGGAGGGTTGAAAGTTCTTCAAAAGTGTACTTTCGAGTAGCGGTGGACTTGTAAAACAAGGTTTTGAAGCTTTTGACACCCGCTTCCCACAGGCCTCCCATATGGGGTGCCCCCGGAGGAATGAATTGCCAGTTGAGCTGCTGATGACTATACGCATCAGTCACAGACTCTTTTACGGCTTGTAGAAAATCTCGGGAGAGCAGGGTGGCAGCGCCGACAAAGGTTTTCCCATTGTCGGACTGCACTTGACGGGGACAACCTCTTCTGGATACGAACCGAGCGAAAGCGGCGAGAAATTTCTCGGTCGTCAGATCGGATGTAGGCTCTAGATGGATGGCCTTCGTAGAGAAACACACGAAAACCAACACATACCCTTTTGTAATTAGGCAAGCTCTGCCTGTGTAATTTTTTATGTCGAAAGGGCCGGCGTAGTCCATCCCTGTGTACGTGAATGGCCGGGAAAAAGAGACTCGCTCTTTCGGAAAACTTCCCATCATCTGAACTTGCAATCGCTTCTTATGGATAACGCAGACCTTGCAGGAGTTAATAACGGCCTTTACCAAGTTCTTTATTTTCGGAACCCAATATCTGGACCGGGTGAGACGTACGACTAACTGGTTACCTCCATGCAACGTTATGAGATGCGTAAAGTTTACCAGTAGTCGAGAGAGTGCACATTCGTACGGGAGGATTATAGGATGTCGTTCATCATATCGCAAATTCTCGGAGGCCGTTATTCGGCCGCACGCCCTTATAAGCCCTTTCTCATCTAGAAAAGGGTTCAAGGAGAGGATGGAACTTGCCGCGGACACAGGACGCTTTTGACTCAAGCAGCGATATTCGTTAGCAAAATATCTGCGCTGAGTGCTAATGACCATGAGCCGTTCAGCGGCGACAAGTTCTTGGGCTTCTAGATGGACTTCCGGAATCGGCGACTGTTTCCTACACCGCTGGACAAAACGGTGGACATACGCAAGGACCCGTAAAGCTCTATTTAACTTGGAAAAGCGATCAAGGATGTCCTCTGTCGGACTGGACGCAACGTGGGCCTTGACAGGACGCCTTTCCACTTCGGTCACCTGTAAATCGGTGCTTTGGGCAGGCCACTGATCTCGTGGCTTTTGCAACCAAGTGGGCCCATGCCACCACAGGGAGTTGTCGACCAGTTCTTGTAATGGCACGCCCCGACTGGCCAAGTCAGCTGGATTGTGTTCGGATTGAACATGCGACCAATTGGCTGCCTCTGTGGACTGGGTGATCTTTGTTACCCGATTGGCAACGAACGTTGTCCACTGGCATGCTGGTTTGGCTAGCCATGCAAGCACAATCGTGGAATCGGTCCAACAATGGAGTTTCGAGGACAGCATCGGCATATGGGGGAGGATGGATTCGGCCATCTCGGATAGCAATAGAGCTCCACACAGCTCTAGTCTGGGAAGCGACACAGTTTTTACTGGCGCCACGCGCGTCTTGGCCGTGAGAAGATGCACTAGCGTCGTGTGCCCCATCTCGACGCGCACATAGATCGCAGCACCGTACGCCTTTTGAGAGGCATCACAGAATCCGTGATGTTCCACTCGGAATTCTGGGCGGAAGGAAACCCATCTGGGAATTCGGACTTGATCTAGGACTGAGTAGCTTTTAAGGAAATCACGCCACTTTTGGCACAGTTCAATGGGAAGTTCATCATCCCACCCTAGATCACGCAGCCAGATCTCCTGCATGAAAATCTTGGCACAGACGACGAAAGGGGCGAGCCAGCCTGCTGGATCAAACAGCTTCGCAATTTGGGAGAGAACATGCCGTTTTGTGAGTGTAGCTTCGGTGGATAGGTCGGGGAGGGCGAAGAAAAACTCATCGGATGTTGCTTTCCAACGGACTCCGAGAGTTTTCGCCGTGCTTTCCGTATCTATTTCAAGGAAATCGGCATTTAGCAGATGATCGGTTCCGATATGAGCCAGAACTTCTTTGTGGTTGGAGGTCCATTTCCTTAATGGAAAACCAGCCGAATCGAGGGCACTCTGCAACTCGCGAATGGTGAGGTGAGCCTCTTCTGCAGAGTCAGCTCCCGAAAGGACATCATCGACATACATGCAACCACGAATAACTTTACTCGCCCTCGGATGGGTTAGTTGCACGTCGGTCGCCAGCTGTTGCAGTACCCGAATTGCCAGGAACGGTGCACAATTGACCCCAAACGTAACAGTTTTTAGCTCAAAATCTCGAATGTACCCTTCCCTATCGCGGAATAAGATACGTTGGAACGCTGTCTGCTTCGGATCTACCCAGATCTGCCGGTACATTTTTTCGATGTCAGCACTATACACAAATCGGAAATATCGCCACTTCAGGATCTGGATGGTTAGATCGGACTGTAGGACCGGGCCAGCATGAAGGATATCATTTAAGCTGACCCCATTGTCTGAAGGGCTGGAGGCGTTGAATACCACTCGAAGTTTGGTGGTCGTACTCTCCGGTTTTAACACTGCGTGGTGTGGCAGGTAGTAACATGCTGAATCGTGGGTAGGAAGGACTTCTCTCATGTGATTGAGGTCGAGATATTCTTGAATAACTGAGTCGTACTTGGATTTTAACGTACTGTCCCTTTTTAGCCGCTGCTCGTTTCTTAAGAATTGAGCCAGCGCCTGGGATCTGGAATGTCCCAGGGAGCAATTAATGTTCTCAGGATCTCGAAAAGGGAGACTCACGACATACCTGCCGGTTTCGTCTTTTGTGGTGGTCCGAAGAAAATTGTCCTCACAAATCACGTCGGATTCTTTTGCCACTTTTACTGGCAGATCCTCCACCTCCCAGAATTTGGTGAGGAGTTTATCGAGAGACGCTTCATACGTGTGTGCAACTTGCGTGGAAAAGGATGATATTTGATCATGCCTCGGAGCTGGTACTGGTCCTGTTAGAATCCAGCCGAAAATAGTCTCTTGACCGAGAAGCGAGCCACAGATGTTCGCTCGGGTACCGCTTAGTAGAATGGATGGAAGTATATCGGCCCCGATTAGAATATCTATTTGTGCGCTCTCATAGAACTTTGGATCCGCTAGCGGAAGTTCGGGAAGGTCTCGCAGGAAATGTTGCGGAAGCGGACATGAAGGAAGATTTCCGGCTATTTGTGGAAGCACGTAGGCAGTGGTGTTTAACTGCAAGCTAGGCCGGGTTGGAGAACGGATCGTGAATTGACAGATCTTTTTGGTCTCAGCGGAGACCGTTTGATTAAGTCCTGAGACCTGTGCTCGGATAACCTGGAACGGCAGTTTAATCAGGTTGAAAAGGCGCTCAGTGATGAAGGTCGCCTCAGATCCGGAGTCTATTAAGGCTCGCGCTTGGAAATTGGAACCTCGATGGCATATATTAATTATAGCGGTGCCTAGGAGGACTGACCGAGTGCCTGCCGCAAAATAATTCTGAAGCGTTGACTGCGTGCCACTGGCAGCCGAGGGACCGAGAGTATTTGGTCTGGATCTGGGCGTTGGCGTTGGATTTGCGCGCGCTGGGGATGGGCTGCCTCGGTGTAGGAGCGTGTGATGGCGGCCGCGGCACGTGAAGCAGTTATGTGCGCTTTCGCAGTCGCGCAACTGATGTGTCCGCGCAAAGCAGTTTAAACACAGCTGTTTTCTTTTTATATATGCGATGCGTTGGTCGACCGTCATCTGGAGAAATTTGGCGCATGTGCGTACAGGATGGTTCTCTCTATTACAGAGATCGCACCCTCTAAGTTGCCTAGGTGCTACCCTTGTCTCGTATGAATTTATTCTTCGAGACGCCGAGTTGGAAGTGGATGCCCTGGGCTGAGTCTGACTAGAACCTGATGGTCGTACATCATCTATGGCTTCTAGTGTCCTGTGACGCTCCGTTAGGAAAACGTTCAGCTCGTGCCACGTAGGGATCTCGGCTTTGTTATGGAGGGACTGCTCCCATAGGGAAAGCGTAAGCTTTGGGAGTTTGGACGAGCACATATATACCAAGAGGCAATCCCAAGTTTCGACCTGAATACCGGACATTTCTAGTGCAGTAAGGCAACCCTGGATGGTACTTTGAAGTTCTTTCAAGGCTGACCCAGACTCCTGTGTGACGGACGGTACATTGAAAAGTATCTTTAATTGACTGTTTACTAACAATCGCTTGTTTTCGAAACGCTCAGTGAGGTTATCCCACGCTGATCGAAAGCCATCATTAGTAAGGGGTGAATTTGAAACTATATTGTGAGCGTCGCCACTCGTTTTGGCATTAAGGTGAAATAATTTTTCGACAGGAGTGAGTCTGGGATTGTTGATATAAATTGCCGTGAATAGATCCCTAAAGGTTGGCCAACGAAGATAGTCGCCGGTAAAAACTTCGGTATCGCACGGCGGAAGCCGGCAGCCTGACGGAATGTATGTCTGAGAAGGATCAGCTGGCGTTGGGGAAGGTTGCGGAAGTTGCGGAGTTTGCGCTATCATGTCTGCTATCTGGGCACCGCACCTTTCGTACGCGCTGTAGCAATACCCGTACTTAGCCTTGAGGACTGGCAAGCTGTCAGCTGCACCTTCTCCGGCTGCTACAAGGCATGCGGTACAGGCATCGTATTCTTTTTTGATGCGGATCCATACCTCTCGGATTTCGTCTCGGCGAATATTGAGGACGGATAACGTAGGAGGGACCGCCGAGGGAATATTTATCCGCGATTCCAATTCGGACAGTCGATCCGAGACTTCAATAAATTGGCTCATAGCGAGGTCGGCAGCCGTTGCAACCATTTTTGTGCTGGCTCGCGTGGTTCTTTCGATGGAAGAAGGAGCCTTTTTGGGAGGTGACGTCTTGACCTTTTTAGGTGTGGGCGTCCTTACCGTGATTTTTGGTATTTTCGGTGATGGAACAGGGGATAGTTTGTTGGAACTTTCCCCGGACATACCAAACTAGGATGCTGTTAGGATGGAATGTGCGCGCTGATATTTCGGACAAAAATCAGAGAAACAATTACGGACCCACTTATGGACCGGTGGAAATAGGATATCGACTAGCTCAAAAAATAGTCGATATGCGTGGCTGAATTATTGTTGAAATATTCGCCAGGCTTTTGGTGGAACGATGGAGCAAGAATGGAAAAAAATACAAAAAAAATACCACAAAATAAAAATACTGAAAAAAATACTGGATTGGATGAGGTATTTGTCGTTTAGTATTTTATAGTGGGTGGTTGGCCGAATTAGGATGGGATTGGATGTCCCCGGCAGTGTTTGGAGTTTATTGGTTTTGTTTTTCTTTATTTTAAAAAAATATTCGGAGACAAAAAACACAAAAATAATACCTTTCAGTGGTATGCGGGTGGTATTTTTTTCGAATTTTTCTTTTTTATCCCCAAAAGAAAAAATTGAGTATCGATGTATCTGCAGACTTACCAAGCTCAATAAATAAGAAGACAAAATACTGGAAAGGGCGTGTTTTTTTTTTTGAAAAAAAATGTGAAACCGAAGAAACAAATTAATAAATCAATAAATTAATAAATTAATTCCACTAGTTCCGCGATGGCGACAGTATTTTATATTTTATTGGAGTGGAACTTGGTGTTTATTAATTTTGTTGGAATTTATTTATGGGATGATTGAAAAAACCACTGCCCGAACTTTTGCGGGCTGTGTATTGGTGACGCGGGAATGCGCGGGATTATCGAGCTTTTTGCGGTACTGCAATTTGCGTGTATGTGTAGATGTATGGAATGATAGTGCCCAAAATATGTAACTAAGAAAAACACACTGAGACACAAAAGTTATTTCACGTCGGCTTTAGGAATTTATTTAATATATATTTATTGGATGGCCGACGGAAATACTTGAGCTTTCGGAATTGGGGTGTAGTTATGTAGAAAAATATGTATAAATGTATGTATGTATATATATATGAAATATGTAATATATGTAATATGGATGTAATATATGTAATATGGATGTAATATATGTAATCAATATGGCGGAAAATTTTATTGTAAATTTTGCCGGCGGGTATGTGTTGTAAATTTTCGATTTATTGTGGACTGTATTTGGATTTTTAAAAATAAAAAGCAAATATTGTCACAGCGGATGTACAATAAAAAATTAATATCAAAAATATTTGTGGGCCGAAATTGGCGGAACACTTAATTTTTGTTTCACTTTTTTTGTGGAGAATTAATTGGAACTCAATTTTGAAATTAATTTATTTTTCACTGTTCACTGAATTTTTTTTGAAATTAATTTATTTTTCACTGTACGCTTGACTTTTTATTTGCACACTTTAATTTGGATTTATATTTTTTTTTTTTATTTTTCTTCGATTTGATGGTGGATGTATATTTAGTGGATGTACGGCCAAATGCGAATATGAATTTTGTACATCAATATGCACACGAAAAGGAATTAGAAAATAGGCAATATGGCCGCACGTTAAAAGAGAACGAAGAAATAAAAGACGGAATTGGAATTGTAATTTACTAACTGCCGTCGTCGGATTAAATCGGACTTGGATTTTAGACAAATCGTACAGAAAGTCAAACGAATTATGTTCTTCGAATGGCTGACTGTCGACCGGCAGTTAATAAAAAAATTAATGAATTGGCACTTATCTGGCTCGAATGGACCAAAAAATGAAGAGTTGGGGCGTCGGGGATGTCGTCGCTTGGGGGCAGCTTCGTCGGTGGTTGCGTGGTGTTGAACGTAGCCGGGTGGCAAGCTGTGGAATAGATGATGAAGAGCAAACACTCGACGATCGCGGTGCGCAAAGGAACAAAAAAACTCGGTGAACTTTTCGGGTTATAGCGCGGACCGGCCGGGCGATGTATTTCACTAGTGGTACAATGAAAGACTAACTTAAACCTAATTGAACGCTGCGTTTCAAAGCGCAGTGGAGAGATTCCGGGAGCGGGAAGGCGGGAGAGCCTGGAATCGCAAGCGTCCAGTGCGGGAGAGCGGGAGAGCGGGAGAGCCTGGCCAGTGCGGGCGAGTGGGCATTCGCTACGAGGGAAGCGCGGGCAGTTTAAACGAGGGGAGAGCGGCGTAAACAATATATATATAAATCCTTGTTCGAGCCAAAGCGGCGCTTCCAGTTTCGGGTGAACCGGAACCCTGGAGTCCTAACAGTCGAGAGAACAGTTTTTTCCAGATCTTCGCATCTCGTTCTCTCGCACTGTTAAGTGTCTCCACTCC